CGGGTGTCACTGCCAGGGAGCTCGTGGAGGGGAGATGCTGATGCAGCCTCCCGGGAAGAGGCTGAGAGCAGAAGGGCCGCAGCCCCCGGCAGCGCGGCACGGGGATCACCGTGGTGGCACCATCAGTCTTGTGCGGCACGGGGATCACCGTGGTGGCACCATTAGTCTTGTGCGGCGCGGGGATCACCGTGGTGGCACCATCAGTCTTGCAGCACCCCTTGTGCTCCGGAGTTTTTGTGAGGGTTCAAGGTTGCCATGAGCATCTGCAGCAGCAGATGAAGCAGACCAGATTTGTGATGGGTAACTTCTGGAAATACACTGAAGCTGAGAGGGTGCTGCAGGGTGCTGGAAAGCTAATACAACTATGTCTGTCAATGCGGGTTCTTCTGTTCTTAGCAAGAGAAGCTGACTTGGACCTAGAAGAATTTTTAGTTGTGCAGATCAGAAAATGAAAGCGTGTGAGGACAGGGAAGAGTGTCTGCCCTGAGCCCGAAGGAGAGAACTGGAATATCGAGGGCTGGAGGGTTTCTTACGTTTGCTGGGTAAAGACAGGAGAGGCCTCTTGTCATTTTGTCCTGGTTAGAAAATGCCCGTGTTCAAAGGAGGGGACGTGTTCAGCTCGCCTTTGAGGTTAGCTAATGACAAACCTTAGCGAGTGCAGCTCTGCTTTAAGAGCAGGTTAGGCTGCAGGGAGGTGTGTGAAATTAAAGGAGTTTGTGTCTCGCAGAAGCAGATAACCCCGTGCGCAGTGTGCAAAAACAAACACTGGGACATGATGAGGATCACACCGGTACTTCCAGCTTGGAACTGGAGGAAAGGGGACTCGGAGGGGAGTTAGTTAAAGCACCAGCCGGGTCTGTCTGTCTGCGCACAGTGAGGTACATAAAGAGTGTTACTGGCCATTGCCAAGCGCCGTGAATACCAAGACGGTCAGAGCAGCTGAAGGAGGCTTTTAAGAGCAGTGCAGAATTGGCAATACTGCAGTCACAGTCCAGCAGCTCACCGGCACAGCCTGAGGGAGATATTTTCTTGAGGAATATGTGTACGTGAGTGGCCTCGTCTGATTCAGAGCCATGGCTGGGCAGGGCCTGAGAGCGTTTTGGCCGTTTGGACATTGGCTCAGTAGCCGATGCCGCGGGAGCGTCGCTGGCGGTGGATGGCAGGGGGTGTTTGGTGGCCGCTGCTCGGGCCGAGTCCTGGGAGCTGCTGCTCGCGCTGGGCCCCTGGCAGCGGCTCCCCAAGAGCCGGTGCCCGATACAAGATATGGAAACACCCCTGAGGATGTGCACCCGCTCGTGGACCTTGGTGATCCGAAGCCTCTCCTACATAGGGCCCAATATCTGGCGTCTCCTGGTGGGAAGGAGGGTGAGTAATTGGGATTTGCGTCCATGATTAATTCTGTGATATGCAGAGTTGCTCCCTTTTTCCATTAGCCTTAGGTGCTGTTGCTTCATGCTTGGGTAAAGCTGTTTACTGAGGAGGGAAGGGGGGGAATCCACCAGTGCTTTTCCCTGCTCTCTCCCGCTCCCCCAAAACACGGTCTGCATGTTCTGGTCAAGATATAATCCTGTTCCTTTCCCTGTAGGTGACGACTTCATCAGGAAGTAAGTGCTTCTCCTGTCGTTCTGCAGCGGAGCGAGATAAATGGATGGAAAACTTGCGGCGTGCCGTGCACCCAAATAAGGTAGCGGCTTTGAGGCATTGCCTCCCTTCGCGTCCAGTTCCTTGTTATTACTTTTTAAAGCCCAGTGCAGAGTCACAGCAGGGGACGTGTTGTCCTTTTAGTAAGTGTAATTGTGGGTCAGCTTTTCTCCATACTGCTTTCTTTCACAATTATATTTACAGCAAAATGCTAATTATTTCTTTCCCCCTTTTCGCAGCACATGCTGCTTACAGCTGTTGCTGTGAAATGATCAGATCTCAAGAAACTTCAGTCTTGCTCTCATACTAATGATACTTGTCACTTATGTAGGATTTTCCACCTTCCCAAAGCTCCGGGACAGATGGCTGGTAACTGCCAGCACAGTTACAAGACTGAATAAGGAGTTCACACAACCCCGTTCCTGATGCTGGTACTTGCACTGTCTGTTTCCGAGTTGGAGCAACTCGGGTGCAGCCTCAGTGGGTTCTGCAGAACAGCAGGGCAGTCTGGGGCTGAACGTAGCTGCTTTCACTTCTGTTAAGAGCCAGTTGAGACGTCAAAATCAGGCCCTCTGGGAACCACAGAAACAAATTCCTCTCTTCGCTAGAACACAGGACATCCAATGTGCGTTTCTATGATCCACTAAGGCTGAATGCAGCCTAAAATAAAGTCTACAGCTGCTTCTTCCCCTCTGCGTTGGGGTTAGCTAACAAAGATTGATCAGCACTAATCAGCTGCAGGATTTCACAGCTGATGAGCTCAATCAACAAGTGATTCTGCTGATCATGGAAAATGCAAATGATGGGATCCTGTGAATTCGTTGATGGCATCAGAAATGCATAACTGTGCACAGAAGTTCAATCCAGGCCTGGCAAGTTGCTAAGGGAGCCCTCTGTGTCCGAGTTCATTGTAGTGAGTCCAGTGCCAGGTTGGTATAACAGGTTTCTTTGATATCAGAAAGGGGACAGCAGAACGGAGAGGGCGATTTGTACCTCTCCGATTGCGTTTCTGCATGTGCAACTCAGCTGCTGCATCCAGAGCTTTGTGTCGGCCTTACAGCAGCCCCGGTAGCCGCCATCTGGAAGAGCCTGGTCAGGTTTGGGTGGTGAGACCCTCTCCTCTCCACTCCTGGGCTTGGGGGAGCGCTGGCTGTCTCTGTGTGGCTTTGAGATGCCAGGGCAGCGAGAATTCCCCTGGAAATCAGCCCTGCTCTTGCAGCGTGCCCTTGGTGCTGGCAAGCTCTCCATCTTTGTTTGACTTCACAGACAACAAACTCTGTGTCTGATTTGATATTTCTGTCAGGCCTTTACTGTTGTTGTCTAATTTCCTGCGTGCGCTTCCTGGACCGACAGTACCTCATTGTGGATCTCCAGCAAAAACGTTCCCGTCCGGACTCCTGAGCAAAGCAGGCGGGATTGACCCTGGCTGCTGTTTCCGCGATGGGCTCCGCACAACGCAGGTCACTGCAGACCCGGGGAGGGATTCGGCTGCGGGCTCGGGCCTGTCAGCCCCTCGTGCAGCAGATGCCCCCAGATGCCCTTCCAGGATGAGGCTGTCGTCGCTGGGGAGTCGCTGAACATCCACAGTATTCCCAGCTGCAGCACTGTGAAAACAATACTGAAGCCAAATTCCTATTTCTCAATGATCCTCCTGTGTGACCTGGTCTATTTCCCACAGTTCCTCTTGATGTTTTAGGTGGATACCCTGGTTTTCAGTCCCAGAATCTCCTGAGGTTTTGCAAATGCTTCTTTCCATGCCAGAGGTGGTTGCATTCCAGCCGTGGATGAGTCAATGCCTGCGTGTACAGTGGGATCCCTTCATTGCTCTCCTTTTGCAGTAAGGAAAATAGACTCCAGTGCTGCAGCAAAGCAGCAATACTGAAAAAAAATAACAGGGAGAGCAATGGCACCTGTAATGTAGCTTTTGTTTCATAAAAGCCAGTAATTATTGGGAAGGCTCTTTCCTGTTTCTTTTGAGGCCCCCTTGGCAGTGAGTTGGAAATGGTTCATTTATAATTTGGAGGGAATTTATCTTTCTTGTTTCTTATATTAATTGGCACCAGCAGACATGGAGAGCATGGCGCTATTTGGAAAATTAACATAAGTAGTGTTATTATGCAAATTCCTGAGAGCCTGTATTTCCTTAAAATAAAATATAATTAAGCCTCTGCTCATTTAGCACATCCGAAATAATTAACTCATATCCCCATTTTTGTTGTTTATGGTTTTGTTTTTTTCTCTTGACCTTTTTTTCTTTGTATCATTTTTTTCTAGGACAACAGCAGAAGGGTAGAGAATATGTTAAAGTTATGGATTATTGAAGCTAAGGACCTGCCAGCTAAGAAGAAGTACTTGTGTGAATTATGCCTGGATGACGTTCTGTATGCACGAACTACCTGTAAATTGAAAACTGATAATGTCTTTTGGGGGGAGCACTTTGAATTTAATAACCTCCCATCGCTCAAAAACATTACGGTGCACTTATACAAAGAGACTGACAAGAAGAAAAAGAAAGATAAGACCAACTTCATCGGACAGGTGAACATCCCCGTCGGCTCCGTCACGGGCCGGCAGTTTGTGGAGAAATGGTACCCTGTGGTCAGCGCCAACCCCAGCAAGGGCAAATCCCCGGGGCCCATGATCCGCATCAAGTCGCGCTACCAGAGTATGAGCATCCTGCCCATGGAGATGTACAAAGAGTTTGCCGAGTACATCACTAACAACTACATGGTGCTGTGCTCGGTGCTGGAGCCCGCGCTGAGCGTGAAGAACAAGGAGGAGATGGCGTCGGCGCTGGTTCACATCCTGCAGAGCACGGGCAAGGCCAAGGTAGGACCCTCTTGTCGCCCCGGGCTGCCGTCGCGGTGGTGGAAGCAAAGGCCTGTGCCTCACGTTTCGGGTTGTTGGAGATCAGCACATGGACTCTGGTTTGGTTTCAAGCCTTCCTGTTGTTAGGATACTGAACTTTCCTTTTTATCGTAAGCGAGTTGGTAGCAGATGCAGTGCAAACTGCTTAATTAGAGAAGAGGTTGGTGGCACCAGGGAGGTACAAACGTAGGGATTTTTCTCTACTTTTGGAGTCTAAAGGGCCAGATTTATTTCATAAACAGGCACATGTACATGAACAGGCACAAATGTAGAATATGCAAGAAAGCTGTTTTCAGGGACAAAGCGTAGGCTGCCTTGCTGTGCTAGAAGCCCAGTTTTCTGGCTCACTCCAAGTTTCCTTCGTGGGAATCCCCAGTAGGTCTGGGGAGAAGAGCAGTCAGGAGAGGCCGAGTCTGGGAGCGATGCCTGGCCCAGGACGGGCAGAGCCCTTAGCTGTGGCACCCGGGGAGCCCGCGGACAGAGCCGCGTGGCCTGTTTGCACAGAGCCAGGCTGTGCCCGCGCACACCGCAGCCGCACGCCGGCGGCAGAGCCGAGGGGGTTGAGGCATCGCGGCGATCCCTGAGCTGTGCGGTCCGGAGCAGGGAGGAGCAGCATCTCCGAGGCGGTGGCGGCGCGGAGGAGACGTGGGCTCCTCGCCCGCGGTGGGGCACGGCGAGACCTTCCTTCCCCTCGCTCCTGGCGCAGCTCCTGCGTGGATTAGACTTAATGACCATCTGTCAAACAGAGAAGAGGCTCGGCCTCCTTATCTAGTTCAAGGCAGGCAAAGCTCCTGAGCGGATTGCGAGGCCAGGGCTCTGCTATCCCAGAGGAGGTGAAAATAGCTCCATGCAAGCCCTGCCCGTACAGGAGGGAGCATCGCGCCGCAGGCCTCGTCCCCTTGGCCGGGCTGCCTCCAAGCAGCTCCCGTGCAGTTCTCCGGGTCGCTTCTGTGACAGGGAGCGTCCTGGGTTGTCCCTTGGGCGCCGGCCATGCCGGTTGCTGACCTGGCCCTGCCTTCTGCTGGTGCCACTTGGCCCTGCACGTCCGGAGCTGCCGCCGGGGCTGCGCTAGTGCCCACGTGCCTGCTCGAGTGCAAGTGTCATAAAAAATCCTGTCCGTGACGATCGCGGTTCCGGTGCAAAAGGCTCCAAGTGTCACCCTGATCTTGTGCGTGCTCGTCTGAGAGCTGCTGCCGCTGCTCTGCCTTTCCCCTCTCCTCGCCAGGCTGGGGAGGCACAGGAGGCAGCAGGGAGGTTTCTGGACATGTGTCTGCATCAGTGGCAAGATCCCAGACGCTCTACACAGGGGACATGGCAAACAGGCTTGATAAACATCCCCCTAAAATGGAGCTTGTGCTTTCGCTGGCTGTCATCCGCCATCAGCGTTAGCTGGGTGTCAGAGCAGCAGGAGTTACTGGAGCACGGGAACAGGGTGAGGCCTCCTCTGTGGAAGACCAAAGGACCAGGGCAGTGGAAGGTGAAGGGGGCGGCGCGTGGCGGAGGGGACGGTGTCACCCTGCCGCGTGCGGGGCGGGAGCAGCCGCTCGCAGAGCAGCCCAGGGCGCGCGGGGCTGTGGAGAAGGGCTTCAGCGCCCTGCAGGAGAGCTCTGTCCTCTCCAGCCCTCTCTTGGGCACCAGGGTGGGTGCCCGGAGCCCCGGCCTTCCCAGGGGCCTCTCCCAAGTGCCCTTCTCTTCGCTCGCCGTCCCCAGCTGAAGAGCGCAGACACTGCTGACAACAACCCTCTGCTTGTGCTGCTGGTAAAGGGGTTTGTGGCTCTGGGCTGCTCTTTAGCTGATGAGAAAGCAGCAATTGCAGCGAGGAACAAGTGTCTGGTGGGTTCTGAGGCCTCATTAGGAGCTAATTGCTCTTGCACTGTTTCTGGTCCTGTTTCCCTGTACATGTGGGGTAGGCTCTGCATGCAGCATGAGTGACTGGATACCTGTGTCTGCCCCTGACCGTGCGGCAGCTCTTGTGTTGGGAAGAGGCTCACGGAGCTGCCGTCCCCGCTGCTCCGCGGTGCCCATGTGCTTGGTGCTGCCCTTTGCCGTATCCGTCTGTCTCTGAGCAGCCGAAGCTCCTGAAATCCAGAGGTGCTTCCGGAGAGGAGCAGCAGAGGGAGAAGGGCTGTCCCGTGGGGCTGGGCTGTCCCCACCGGTGCCTCCCCCACGGGATTTGCAGCTTCTGTCCATGGAGAGCGGAGCTGGAGTGGGCACAGAGGCTGGGGCAGGGGCCGTGG